TGCCAGCTCCAAGCTTACTGGAAAGGGCTCTTTCTGCCCCAGCCCAGTGCCTTAAGCTAAGTGTACTGGGCTTGTTTGGACTAAATTATTTCACGATCTTTTAAACCAGGCAGATATCTGTCTGTTGCCTCATTTTCTCTTACAACAAAGATCTGAAACATTGCTTTAATAGAAAACTCCAGCCTGTGTCTAAATGAACATCCTTGCGTATAAGTGAGATATCCTTATCTCCATGGATATACCACATCCGTTGTATCCTGTGTGTCCAAAATGACATATATCTATGGATAGACCATATCCATTGTATTCTTGTGTCCAAGGTGACATATCCTTATATTTTAGACTCTTGGTAGTCTCTGTGTCTGGGAAGTTTTAGCAACAGTTGCATAAAATACATCTTGGGAAGCAGGTTAAGAATAGTTATTTGAAAAAAACGTCACTGATTAGTGTCACCCCACATGCTTCCCTCAGCCTTACTTTGCATCTGATATTTGGGAACTCTACAACTCCAGACAGACACTGAAGGAATGGGGCTGCTGCTTTCTCCCTTCTCCTATCCCGTCTCCCTCCTCATTTTACTCCAATGTATGTTTCCTGAAGTTGTATATAAATTAAATGTTTGTGAGTTATATTTTAAATGCCAAGTGAAATGCTCTGCAGAAAACATTTTGTAATATGAATAACCATTTAGCTGCTCTAATTACAGTTTGAATTTGCTTAAGATAGGTTGTACTTGAACTCTCTGTATTTGTAAACTGTATTTGTAAACATCTGCTTTACATCATTTGTCTTTGTAATGTCTTGTCTGTTAGTTTAGGTGTTCTTTGTTTTGTTGGTTGGTTTGCAAAACACCAGAAATGTAGAAATGATTATAGTACAACAGTCATTAAAAGGTATATTTTGCCTACTTAGGTTGGACACAGTCTAGAAGCAATTTTTAGGTTCTGCCCATACTTTCTCTCCTGAATGAAGAAACTCTCTGGATTCCATCCCCCAGAGGAGGCCCCGATTTCCCACTGTTTCTGGACAGTGGGGGTGTTGGACCTGGAACTGTTTGAGGACCCCTCTAGCTATGGCAGCTTGTCCACCTAAGCCAGTGGTTTTTCAAGCCTCTTTTGTAAGCAGCAGAATAATGAATAAGCTCAATATGTGAAACAGTCAAAAGTATTCAATTGGGAGGGAAGGGTGTGGACCAGCATGAGTGAGGGATGGAGCCCCACTTACTCAGCCCAGATGTACTTGCTTTTGAGATCTTGAGGCAGTTTGAAAACATTTATCTAAATTACAACAGAATATTTCTTTCTTAAGAAAAACTCTTGTTGAGATAGGGTTGTAAATTCTACAGATTTTGGGGTAAACATACAGTAATAATTTAGAATTATGAGGAGGGCCAGTCTGAACAAAGGAATGACCCAATTTACTAGAAGATTCATAGTATCCTTTTTGAGCAAATAATTAATTTGGCCAACAAAATATTGAGAAGATTCCTCTGTGAATACATAAGGATGTTGTGCATTTGGCATCTCTGTTAGGTAATTATTCAAATACCTCATCAAGTCCCTCTGGGATCTTATTTGCAAAATGCAAACTGGTAAGAGTGAAGACCCATCAAACTCCAAATAACAACTTGCCATACCCACAGGATTTCTATAGTTTTTGAACATCCGGTTATTCATTAAAGGAAAATAAATGATCCCGCTATTTATATTTGACTTGATCAACACATTCAGGAAAACCACAAATCCTATTAGTCCAGGCTTAGCTTGTTTCTGTGTGAATAATGTCACTCTAGGCCTTGTCCCAATTTCCATTCAGATTAAATCAGGACGTCCAAACTGGTCTTTGATGTCCAAGTCTAGATAAAGGCTACATGTTTACTAGAATGCAGTCCCTGTTAAGTGTTCTAGGTTGCTAAGAAAACTTACAGGGGAAATCTTGCTGTTTTAAGCAGTCAAGCATAACACAGAAGTGAACGGCCTTCTTACCTCAAGGTGATGATCTCAATTAGGTTTTGGTTTCTCCAGTTTTTTCCAAACCATGCGTTGGAGGGCTCTGTGTTTCAGTCCTTATTATATTGTTTTGGCTGTCTTGTTAGTAACTTTGCAAACTCCTCTTTTCCTTGAAAACATAAAAATCACCATGTGGAATTGTGGCAGCACCTGACACAGGGCTTCTACTGGGTGAGGCTGGGCTGTGGCCTGGCAATGCTGCTGAGGGTCTGAGTGAGGCAAGGGAGGGGCCGGACACTTTTTTCTCCCATTTATTTTCAGCACCACGGGACGTTTATGACTGGTTCACCAAACCTCTAAATGTGAAAGAACTGTTAGCAACTTCATTTGTTTTAATCTGCATGTGCTCTGAAGAAAACTAGTAACCTCTGAATAAAGCATTTAATTTGGATAAATACCATTGGTCCTGATATCGTTCACTGGTCCTGATAACTCTTCACTGTGAAAGCTGTTTCTGTGGTATTCACCCCAATTCTCTTGACTCATTTTTCTAATGTATTTCAGGAAAATGGAATGCCAGATACTTGTCATTATGGTAGCTATTTATAGAACTTTAAATCTGAAGAGTTACTGTTTAGGCACATATTTTCTTAGAGAATGATTTAAATGATTTTAATATACCATATCTTACAAAACAAGGTGAAAAAGAAAAAAAATTGGTACCAGCTTACAATTCATTAATAGTACTAAACACTCAAATACAGCTAAACAAAAATTATCATGAACTGAAATAAAGACAACATAGCGTAAATAATTCCTAAAGCATAGTTTGCCAAAGTTTGGATGGTTTCTCAAAAGTGTGATATAAAATCTTAATTTTTGAAGGATCATTTTTTAAATGGGCAAGTTATTGAGGAGCATTTTAAGGTCAAATATCCTTTTGTGATAAGTTAATTCAGATGCGACATTGTTTATTGCAGCACGAGCTCTACATTTTCTAACGTCACTAAATTTCTTATTATAGCACAGGAAAAAGAAGATAAAATAGGGGAGGAATCAGTTTCAAATTCAGTCCTAAGCAGCAATATGTTTGAGACGCAATCATAAAACCAAATATTTCACCCAGGACATGCAGAAAACGGTGGATCATCAGAAAGCAAAGGATAAAAAGCTGCAAGCAGGAGTGGAAGACGCCAGGCTTATAATAAGGTCTTACTGACATATACTGTGCTACTAAATGCACTCCTTTAGGGGGAAAAAAAAAAGTCTTTTTCACATGGAGACAATACATGTACTTTTGAGAATAACAAAGTTTGTCATGGAGATATGTTGTTTCAAAACATTTTTCATTTTCTGAAATAATTGACTATTTCACTGATAAACTAAAAAGGAGTATCATTTGTCTTAATTTTGTTTTTCCAGCCTTCTGGAACTAATGGAAGGGCCTTGGCGATAAGTTTCTCCTACGCTAACCTTCACTATTTTTGAATTTGTGGATTTAGAACAAAATTACAAAAGTTTTTACTTATTAGTAAGGCAATATAAAATTTAGAGTTTTTTCCTAAAGTCTGTTGAAAGAATTGAATGAATATTGATACTCTTCCAGCTCAAGTATTATAGACAACATTCTTATTCATTTTCATAGTTTGGGCACTTTCTCCTTTCAAACATGCATATTTTTAAATGTAGTATCCACATTTGTTAATGTTTGAGACTGACAACCTGAGAATCCACTTCATTTGCTCTTTAGCCTGCCTCTCTTGATATGTAAACAATATATCAGTGTATCTGCTAATAAATACAGTTCACACAACTGAGAGAATCCTTTGGATGTAAACACTGCAAAACAATGGTATTTAGCAGACTATCTTGTTGGCCATAAGAACATGAGACTAGCCAACATCTTGCTGAAGAAACTGAATTAATTCACGTCATTTAACAGTGTTTTAGGTGTTGGGAGTATGTATTGAAGCTAAAATAATGACATGTCCTCTCCTAGTGCCAAATCTAATCAGTGGCATTCTCACATACTTCAGATGAGTGCGTGCATGCGTGCATACACACACACACCATGAGTGAGATATAAAGAAAATAAAACTGCATAACACTTGACACTTCAATGGCTTCATCCCTAAATCCCCCAAAGTTACATGTTTCTCCTTTTCTTTCTTTAAGAGCCTGAGGACAAGTTTGAAAAGCACTGATTTAAATATACTAGGTAGTAAGTGTTCTTCAGAGTTCGTATCAGGTAGTAGGTTTTGATGAACAGGTTTGGACTGCAATTAAGATAGACATTCTAAAGTTAGGGCCACGAAGGGTTACATGAAAATATCATCCTGTAATTTGCCACTATTAATAAAACAACACAACTTCACAACTAGACTGACACTGATAGAATTCCTTCCCATCAAAAGTAGCTTCAAACCTACATGGCATCTTTCAGGTAAATCTACAAAAATTTTCTTTTATTTTTCCTTTATGTCAATGAAATCAGAAGCAGTGGTTTGGTTTTCCTGCAAATTAAGTGACTGAGCAAAGAACTACTCATATTCTAACCCTTTTTATGCTCTTAAACCAGAACTGCATTATTTACAAAGATAAAAGTCACCCCAATATACAATGGTCACATTTGGCAATTCATGAGTTGGAGAGTAATTTCCTTTGAATAAATTTTCCAAAAACTTAAAATCTTAAGATGTATAGTTTTTATCAATAAAAACTACATCAAAGTAGAAACTTTGGTAATGGAGTGTCTTTTCACTTTCTATTAGGAAAACTGTTAGCATGTTTTCAAAGATAAAACAATGAAAATAACTAGGCCCAATCATTTCATCATGTGACTTTCGGAAGATGAATGATGAGTTTGTGAAAAATTAAGGCAACAACATAAGTCACGTTATGAGTAGGTAGAAGAATTCACAAAAAAAGGTAGAATTCTTACTTTCTTTAATCACTGAATTTCAGCTTTTACAAATAATCTTAGAACAATTCAGGTAACTAAAGTTTTGGGGGGAACAGTTCTTGTACATGAAGAACTATTACATTACATGCTCCATTTTCTGTAAGTACCTCTACTGGCTGGATTAACAAACACTGTCACAGAAACGAAATTTTTTTAAAGCCATAGATCACTGCATTTATATTTACAAAAAGCCATAAACAGACATGCACTTGTCCTTTATGAAGGGGATCTAAATAGGTGTTTGAACATTAAGGCAGTGATGATTCTAAAACATAATGAAATCCTAAGTTAAGGCTTTATGTTTGTTTGGAAACCCACATTCACAGGCAATTGTGACCAAAGCAAACTTTTATCTACCAGGTCAAGTTCATCTACCCGGGATATGTTATTTATCCATTACCAACATTCTTCTATTGAATAGGAATTAGCAGTTTAATCCTCTCTTAGGTTTTATTTTGAGGATTTAGCCTTCATCAGCACAAACATGTGCCACAGAAGGAACAGAGAATTTTTGGATAAACTTGGAAAACCTACAGGCTGCACTGATTTTTACTTGCCTGAAAGTTGGCCAAAAATCAAGAATTCAGGATATCCTAAATATAGAAAACCCCCAAAGCATCCTTGACCCATGCTCCCATCTCAAAACACAGATGTTTTTGATTACTGAAGCAATCAGTCTTCACCTCAGTTTTCTTTGAAGACTGGTTGATATTACCCTTTAAATAAATAAACAAACAAACAAAATATAGAAGGTGGGTCTATTCTATAATTGCTATCCTCAAGGCACAAATAATATTCTTGCTAGACCAATGCCTTTCCTTATTCAAGGAAAAGATGAAAGGTGGATGAAAAGAAGATTCTCTTTAAAATAATTGTTGATTGCACGCTTCCCTTTCAAACTTATGCAAAGTATTGAAATTTAGGGAGGAATGTCCTTTTTCCTTTCCATGATATATTTATTAGGTTGTTGGAAAAGTTATGACTCATTTTTTCTGTTTTTCGTTGCAAAAATGCGTCATGACTTTTCCGACAACCCAATATTTTAACATTTAGAGTGACAAAACTCAGATCCAGCCTGTGGGTGCACTTTGACAAAGAGCTCTGGAGCACCACCCCAGCCTACTGTAGAGTGCCTAGGAGGGGGTGTTTGTAGCGCACACTCCAGTAGGAGCCAACAGGCATGATTCCACAGCAGTGACTGTTTAGACTAGAAACATCACTATTTATACTAAGGGCTTGCTGCTACTACATTAAGCAGTAATTTTACAGTAACACAGCTTGTGAGGAAAGTACTGTACACTTACATTGGTATCAATAATAGTTCATGTAGAGAAAGGGTGGCAATGACTACATGAAAACTGTCTGAAAAGCTAAAGGCAGATGTAGTTTTCCTTTGTGTCTTCAAGTCAGAAAGGAGTGAGCTGTCAAAGCAGATGAAGCTGCAGGCAGCATGAGTCTCAAAGCACCTAAGCAGTGGTGTTTACATCTGATGATGTAGCATGGGATTACTATCAGGAAACAGGAATTTCTAACAAGCACTGTCAAAAATATTTGAGGTGCAATTTAAGTAAGTCACACTTCTACTAAAATATGTTGAAGATTTCAGAAGTTTGTACCCTAGTACCTGTTAAGCTTGGCTTCAGCTAAACAGCTAGATGAGTTTTAAAGGTGTGAAGTTCCTTTTTTTTTTTTTTACCAAGGGAAGACTGGTGTAAAAGGGCAGATGTAGGCAACACAATACAATTCTTTTTAGATCAACATCTTACTTTATAATACACTCACATTTATACACACATTTCATGTTTACAAGTACAAAAGGCAAAGAACCTCAAAGAATCGAAGCAACTGCATATCAACTACATTCAACAGAGCTAACACTGTTGTCCCCATTCTCCATTTTCTAAATCCAGAAGAAAATTGTAAAGGCCGTCCCACACGTGGACTCCCCTTTTAGAAGTTGGAGACTGTGTGTAGTTCTGCACATGTCTGGGTTTCTACGGAACTGAACTGGGATTCCATTGTGTTCCAGGCCAAGTCAGCCAGAAGAAAGTCATCCATTGCTGTTTGTGTTTCATTGCTGGTGCAGAACAAGCTCCCCAGGTTTTCAAGGCCAGAATTCATAGTCTGTGTTTCTGTACTGTTCAACTGAACCTTGCTTTCTAGAGCAGGTATGTTTTTAGCAGCAGGGATTCCTTCAGTTTGGGTCTCTGTGTCAGAGGAATCAGTACTCATGGAAAAGCTGGAGTGTTTCAGGATACTTCCCAGAGGCAGATGAGGGCTACTGTCTAAAAAGAAGTTTAAGTCTGTCTGTGTCTGCGTGTCAAACATTTCAAGGCCTAAGAAATTAGAATTTCCCCTACAACTGTGGGACTGGGCAGAGGAGTCTGCAAGTAAGAAGTCAGTTTGGGTCTCTATGTCCAGCGATTCTAAGACTGGCTCAGTGGTCATGGTGCTAAGCTCACTCTCTTCAGTTTGAGTCTGGATATTTGAGGCTGAAAAGAACTCTTCAATATCAAAATCGATTGCAGGATTCTGGGTTGGGCCAGATGCGAGCTGGGTGTCAGGTCCAGTATTCGTGTCAGACAGAAGACTACGATTGTCCAGTGTCTGTCCGGGCAGATTACTTGATAAGATGTTTTCTAAATCACTTAATAAATCTATAGTTTGGGTCTGGTTATCTGTCATGTTCTGTGAAGGAAGCATACTGTTCTGTGCACTGAAGTTTATAATTGGTGCAGATTTCTCAATATCTTGATTTAAAGTCTTAGGGGGGTTCTGAGGTAACAAATCATGAGTTACAGTCTCTGCTACTAGGCTGCTGCTTATAATACTGTCTGTAGGAACACCGAATGATGAATGGACATTCTCAAAAATGTCTCCACACATTACAGCTTGGTCCATCTGTACTCGGTCATCTGTCGGTCTCTGCATTCCACTGGTTTGAGTTTCTCTGGAGATGCCTGACTGGAAACAGGCATCTAAAGCCCCATCAGTCTGAGCAGCTATAGACGAAGTTACCTTAGAACTAGGCAAAAATGTTTGAGTATGAACACTAATGGGAAGGGAAACTTGAGAACCAAACGTCAAATCAGTCTGAGAGCAAGATGACACAGAGGAATCAGGGCTTACCCACTGTGCAGAGGGTATAAAGTGTTGTGTGGCGTAAGACAGATCTGTCTGTACATTGATTGAAGAAATGCTGTTCTTCTGACATGTGTTCCCTAGCTCTTGTAAAGAATTAGATGAACTTTTACCCAAGTTCACTTGAACACCTGTACTAACTGGCTCAACAGCAACAGGATTTACAATTTTTGAGAGAGGGAGGCTCTCCTTAAGAGAGCAGGCCTCTGAATCAAGGCCGAAGATCAGGGTTCCAATTGACAAGGGCAGTAAGTGCACAGCACCCGGGGCAGAGCCCTGATGATCGACACCTAACACCACAGGCTGGGCCGAGGAGTCAGCTGTAGGCACAAAGACAGGCACAGGAGAAAACTGCATAACGGGTAGTTTAACCAGAGCCACTTTGGGCTTTGGTAAAAGCAACTTCTGAGGATATCTTGAAGCCGTTGTCAAAGCCTGCTTTCTGGCATTAGAGCTGCAAGAGTCTTCAAAAGAAGCAACTAGCTTTATTTCTGAAGTTTCTAATTCTTGAGGGTCTGATCTTGGGGTTGGTTGGTTACTCAATGATTCAATGGTCTTACCGGACAACTTCTGGTTGTGCAGGCAGTTTTCCATTTTCCTTTTCTTACTAGGTGGATCCCTGAAAACAATGACAAAGTGAATAGAGAAAATAGTCAGATTCAATCCAGTGAAGAGAAATCCCTTCTTTTGCAACTTTTTGAGAATTGGGCCTACTATGTGGTAGGTAGAAGTTCAGAAACATGCAAATACGGAAGAAGGAAGCATAAAGCTCTAAATACTAGAACTTAGATCTGTAAGCATAAGGAAGTCAGCAGATTATACAATGTAACAATTATCATTTCTAAAGTAGGAAGCTAATACCCCAAATATAAATTTGACCTTTAAAATGAAGTAGTTTCATGATAAGGGATCCTCAAAAGGAGCTGGCAGAAAGAATAAGGAAGAACAACTGGGTCAAATAGGCACGAACCCTGCTGCCATTTCTGAAAGTCCCCTTCTTCCATGTCACATCTTTTCTCCATTATTTTTCCTTTCTTCCTCTATTCACAGCTTTCCAAAAAGTTTAATTTGAAACTTCCCACAGCTATTGACTTTTGGGCCACCATTTTTTCCTCTTTACCTGTGTTCTGCAGGGATCTCATGGCCAGTTCGGTAGATGTGGGACTGTAATGCAGTTCTACTGGCATAGGGGCAGCCACACGTGCACTGGAAGGTCTTGCCACAATCCTCTGCATGTCTTTTCAAGTCCCATTCCGTGCCATATGAATTGCTGCACTTACTACATTTATGCTTCTTTTCCGCGTGCATTTTCATAAAGTGCTAGGAAGAACAAGGGATCAGAATGAAAATCTGCAACTGCTCAAAACATTTCAAAAACCATCAACATACCCAAATTAACCTTGATTTTACATGATAAACATAGCAGTCCTAATCAAAAGAATGCAAACGCAGGCAAACTGCAGTTTATCGTATCATATGCCTCTCTTCTCTGTCACTTTTGCTTTGTGAAAAGTGGAAACTGTTTTGGAAACAATCCATGGTACCTAGCATATTGGTTCTGATCTACAAATTAAGTGCTGCAGGCAGAAATAAAAGTCTTTGCAATGTTTTTCACAGGACCCTCTCCAGCAAACTCTCAGGGAAGTATTTCAGCCACCAATCTCTCCCCGCCTTGAATCACCTCTTTTTCTGGTTTCTGTGCCCCTCCCTCCTCTTAAAATAGCTGCTTCTGAAATTCTTCTTTTTCTGAATTCTGCAGTTTCTTATTCCCTTGGGAGAGCATTTCTTTTGTGCCTTTGCTTGTCTGACCCTTGAGGCATACACCTTCACACAAGAGATCTGCATGTACACATTTTCTCATTCTTTGAATTCTTCTTCTCTCTCACTCTCCGAATCCACTTCTGGACATCTTCCCCTCCAGAGCAAGCCACAATTCCCTTCACTTGCATTAGACCTTACTTCCTTTTTCTAACTGGAAGACTCTTAGGCAGCTGTCCTCACAAGCAACTTTCTGCTCAATTCTCTAGTTATGTTTCGTAAGTAATTAGAAGGCACATTGGGTTTATACCATCTGTATTTCATCCCCAGAGAAGTATACTTAAGTAAAATACCTGTTTTACGAGAGAAAATTGAGAAAATGGTCTGTCAGGGCCTCTAGGGCATCCTTCAATTGGACAACAGTAGAATTTCGGTACAGTTTTCAAATCTTTTCTTATTGTTGGATTTACTATGCCATCCTGCAAAAGAAAAATTACTTTAGATAATTATTTTAAAAAAAAAGCAAAACAACACACCAATAGAATGGGCTGGGAGTTAAAACAAGGAATGACTAAAGATGGAAACAAGGGATCTTTTTAGAGAGATGAAAATGTTCTAAAATTGGATTATGAAGATGGTTGCAAAACTATGTAAATCTACTAAAAATAATTGAATTATTCGCTTAAAATGTATAAATTTTATGGTGTGTAAACTATAGCTCAAACTGTTTAAAAATCTATCCATTCCTTTAAAACTACTCATTCTAAACTTATAATCTCTGCCCTTGTAGATGAAAAAGGGGCTCTGTAATAAATCTAACTGAAAGTAACCTCACAGTGGTGATCCGATCATAAATCCTAACTAGGCAGGTCATGCCTCACACCTATAACTTTCCTGGTAAAAGGTTCTCTGCATTAAGCAAGCCCTGTCCATTGTTTTTGTGCATCTAAGTTAACACATCTTAGAAATGCCTTTTTCAGATCCCTCAGAAGTGTAATCACCCTCAAGAGAGCACATAATCTTTTTTTTTTTGTAGCTGAACCATCCTGCCACCTGTTGGCAGCTCAGCGGCTGCTCAGCTCGGGCCGGGACTGGAACCGCTGTTGCTCAGAGCTCAAACTCTTGAGCAAGCTCTTAAATCAGCTGGCCCACATAATCTTTTTAACTACCCTATAATCCCATCATTAAGATTTCCCTGCCTTCATGTAATCTTCCTTATGTATCCTCCTTAATTCCAAATGTATAAAAGAAACTGCCAACTATCATTCTGGGGAGCACTTTTCAATCTGTTGACACTTTGCTTCCAGGCGCATCCGTCTGGCTAAAATAAATTCTAATCAACTCTGATAAAATTTTTCTGCAGGTTTGTATGTTCTTATGTCAACACCTTAAAGCCAACTTCTCTATTTGTGATATATTTACAGTTCCTCAGACTCAAGATTTCTGTATCATCCTTAAGCCTTCCCTTCCCTTTTATCCCATCCCCACGCCTTAGTGTGAGCTCCTGAAAAGAACCTCCTGACTGATCTAGGCCTACTTGATAAATAGCACTGGGACTTTCTCTGATCATCACACTGTCCCCTAAAGTAGCTAAAGCTAACTGACACAACGTTTATATAGCAGCTTGAATTCAGGCACAATGCTATGTTTGAAATTCAATAATCATTATAATGGCAAGCATTATCATAGCTTTTACTACTGTGGCATACACTGTTCTAAGCACTTTATATATATATTAACTCGTAATCCTAATAATCCTTTGTTATTAAGTGATTGACTTTTTGGCTGGAAGTTTTAAAACAATTCTTGAGTTAATTTAGCTTGAAGTGCTCTCTCTTGTGGCCCTTGATGACATATCTTGTTGACATACCTCGAGTGTGAGATCTCTGATGACCTCCAGTATAATTCTTATCAGACCCCTTCCAGCTGACCATAAAGGAGGTGGGGAGTGGTGGACCTCTCTATAGGTCACTGGAAACAAGACATGTGCTCAGGCCTCACCTGCTGCTGCAGCACCTAGATGTTCTGGTCCTCTAGTGTTCTGATGAGAAAGGATTCATTACGTTTGGAACATGACTACCTCCTTCTTTCCCATCAGTTATGTATCTAAAGAAGTGAGAAATTAATAACTGTGTGGTTAAGATTCCTTCCCTTTGTTTTCCTACTGGTTCTCAAGATGAACCATGTTAATCTTGTTGAGTCTGTGTCCACTCATTTAGAGGGGAAAAGAAGCCAGTTTTATTTTATTTTCAAACAACGTAATTTATCTTTCAATGATAAATTGAATTAAGTTATTCCTCCACATCTACATTGGTCTATCCTTTTATATTCCTACTGCATTACACTGTTTAGACATTCATATTCCTTTGGATTATTTAAATGGTCCCCTAAATAATTTTCCTTCCTCTTCTAGTGTTATAACAAATTTGATATCCCCCCAAATTATTTGTATATATCACCTAATGCTCTTTTTATTTATTTTTTATTTATTTAAATTTTTTTTTAGCTGAGCCATCCTGCCACCTGTTGGTAGCTCAGCGGCAACTCAGCTCGGGCTGGACTCGAACCCCTGTTGCTCAGAGCTCAGACTCTTGAGTAAAGCTCTTTTTTAAAAAAAGGATATGGAAAATAAAATCCCAACTCGTTATGCCGTCAATCTACTATATAACCATATCTTTTTCTGTTCCCTTTTCATACACTACCCTAGTCAGCTTAACATTCTTCCCACTTCCAATTCCACCTTCTACACCCATTCTTGGAAAACTGTCCTTTGAAGACCCAGTTTGTCCCACATCCTCCTGTCTCCCTTCAGGCAGAATGCATGGTGGAAAGAGCACTGTGGCTATAAGGCACTTCTACCAGTGATTGGGGTGTGGCCTTGGACAGGGTCTTTAAATTCTCTGAGCCAGTTCACTCATTTCTAAAACAGAATAGTTAACTCAGGATTATTTTATATTGGATTAGCATAGAGACTAGCCCAGATCCTATTCTCAGTAAACAATCTCCCGTTTTGCTCGCCACCCAGATCTACAGATCTAATCCTTGTCTGAATTCCAACATAGTACCTAATTTAAGCTATCTCAAATATTATCATTTTCTTCTAGCGTTCCAGTCTCCCCAACTAAATTTCTTAGGAGCAGAAACTATTTTATATACCTCTTGGTACTGTCTTCATGCTTAAAGAAGAGAGCAACTGCACGCTAAATGTAGGTATTTTCGGAAAGGCAGTTCAGTGTAGAATGGTGGTTCTCAACCCCGGTGGCCTGTGAGAAGTCAATCACTTGAGGCACTTATAAAAAACCCCCATGCCTGGTCCCAACCTCAGGTGTTCTGATATAATTAGTTTGGGATGGGGATTAGGTATCTATATTTGGTCTTAAATTCTCCCCAAATGATTCCAAAGTGCTGTCTTAGCTTGAGGACCACTGGTGTAGTGGTCAAACCCACAGGTTCTGGAATATGGGCTGTCATGATTTGAATTCTCTACCTTGCCACTTTTCCATGACCTTGAAAAAATTAACTGTCTTGGTTTCTTTACCTATAAAGTAAGCATAATAGGACCTACCTCAGGGTTGTTGTGAGGATTGAGTTAATGAGGTATAGGGCTTAGAACAGTGTTTATCACATAATCACGCGATTATTATAGCTATTAGTTATTTGCTGTGGAGATTTTTGTTTCTTCTTTTGCTTTCTGCCAAGCACCTTAATGCCAATAAACTAGTGCTTTACATTACATACCGTCCTTGTAGAAGCCCACTGAAATGTTGTTTGTTAAAACACTGGCATCTGCTAGCTTTAATGACAACTGACATTGTCTCTCATCACCAAACTCATCTCATTCACCAATTCATCCAGTGTTTTTTTAATGAAATAATTTTAGTTAACTTATATATTTTCCATGTAGTATTATCAGCAAGAGAAAATGAAATGTGGGGAGAATATTAAGGAAGACTCTAAAATCCTTCATTCACTTGCCCATTATTGAATTCCTCTTAGTTATATGCCAGAGAGATGGCCCCCTGCTATGATCTAGGTTGTCAACTGCTCCTTCCTACAGGGGCAATATAAAATTCATGCGTACTTCTAATACATCCTCAATTCTGCCTAGCAATCCTTTTATTATCCTTTTTCAAATTCCCTATCATGTTCTCTTATACTTGTTCACTTCACTTTTTAAAATATTAATAAACTTTATATTTTTAGAGAAGTTTTAGGTTCACAGCACAATTGAGCAGAAAGTGCAGAGAGTTCCCATATACCCTCTGTCCCGACATGTACAGCCTGTTCTATTATTAGCATCCCCCACCAGAGTGGTACATTTGTTACAATTGATGAGCCTACACTGATACATCATAATCACCCAAAGTCCATAGTTTATATTGGAGTTCACTCTTGGTGTTGTACATTCATGAGTTTTGACAAATGTATAATGACATGTACCCATCATTATAGTATCATAGAGTATTTTCACCACCCTAAAAATCCTGTGCTTTGCCTACTCATAACGTCCTTCCCCTTAAACCCCGGTAACTACGAATCTTTAGGCTGTTTCCATAGTTTTGCCTTTTCCAGAATGTCATATAGTTGGAATCATACAGTATGTAGCCTTTCAGATTATCTTCTTTCACTTGATAATATGCATCTAAACTTTCTCCATGGCTTGATAGCTCATTTCTTTTAAGCACTGAATAATATTCCATTGTCTGGATGTACCACCATTTATTTATCCATTCACCTACTGAAGGACATCTTGGTTGCTTCCAAGTTTTAACAGTCATTCACTCCTCAATGTCTTTTACCACCTCCTCACCTTTCCTTTCTCACTGTTATCATCATTATTCAAGTTCTCCTGACTCTCTGTTTGAACTTTGTTATTAACCTATTAACTAATTTCTAGAACTTCAATCTCTTTCATTTGCCAGATTCATCTTTCTAAAGTATAGCTCTGATCATGTCATTACCTCACTCAAACATTTTCAACAGTACCCCAATACTACCTGAGTCCAAGTTTCTTTAGCCCAGGACATTCAAAATGTCTTATCATCTAGCTTCAAATTACCTTGCTCTTCTGTCATTTCTCCCTTATACTTAATGGAACTACTTAAAATTCCCCAAATCTTTGCAAGGAAAGGAATATTTTTGTATTTTCTGTTGCTTTTGGGAATGTTTGAAAACAATAAATGTTCAGTAAAAACTTGTGGCATTATACTGAATATGTTCAAGTGGCCATCTAAGCCAAAACTTTGTAACAAACTAGGATGAGACCCTGAAGACAGCCACATTGGACACCTTGTTGCTGTTATTACAGGCATGTGGCAACAACCTGACACTGTCCACTTTCTGGCTTTCTGAGAGCCAACTCCTCAACTCTCGCTGTCACTACCTCTCTACCTATTTCTAGGCCTTTTCCCATTCTTGGTCTGAGACAATAAGCTGAAAGGGTAGGTTGGCTGAGATAAGAATAGGGGAGATAAGGGCCGGCCAAGTGGCGCGATGGTTAAGAACTGGCTTGGGACGCCAGGGGGCCCGGTTTGGATCCCACATATGAGGGCCAGTGACACTGCCCTCCACAGCTAAGATGCTGAACAACAGCTCAACCTGGAGCTGGGCTGCTGTGAGTTGCCGGCCATGGCGGAGGCTGCAGCCCCTGTGGCAGTGGGTTGCCATGGGCTACCGTATGTAGCCAGCAGCCGCAGTGAGCAGCCGTCCAGAAGCCGGGGACTGATCTGCCTCACCCGGGAAGAGCGCAATGATGGTGCCAACTTGGGCCAGTGAAGCAACGTCTTCCACAACTAGACTGAAGAACAAAATGACAGCAACTTGTCTGTTCCCCTTCCCCCAATTCCCCCCCCCCAAAAAAAAAGAATAGGGGAGATAAGAAATGGTGATGGCACAGTAAGACATGAATTGCAGTGAGAAAGTGATATTTTTGTTCTGAAGTTCTATACACATTTAAGAACAAAATTTACCAGACATTTTGTACTTTATCTTTCATGTGCACAACCGAAAAAAATGCACACAAAAAATACTTCATGTTTTGTGTACTTTTTTGGGTGCCTGTTTATGGAACATTTTAAAATAAAAATAAACATCTTATAAAATGTTTATGAAACATTTTAAGTAAAAGAATTTGAAAAGAACCCATGAGAGAAAACAATCAAGAAAACAAGATGGAAAAAAGTAAACATACAGAAGAGAAAAGCAAGAGGGAAGAACACAAATGAAGATGAGATGATAAAAGGGAAGAACTGTAAGAATCATGGCCAAAATTGGAGAAAAAGGCATTACAGCTAGTCTAGCACCTGACTGCCTTCACAGAGAGCATCCAAGAAAAAAAACGAGTTTGCTTTGTTGTATTCTTATTGTAAATTTAAATTAAAAGTCTTGGGCTGGCCGAGTGGCTCAGTTGGTTAAGAGTTGGCTTAAGAGCATGAGCTCTGAGCAACAGGGCTGCCAGTTCGATTCCCACATGGGCCAGTGACGCTGCGCCCGAGCTGAGCTGTCAACAGGTGGCAGGAAGGCTCAACTGGTGTAACAACAAGATTGCCTGTTCCATGGTGGGCTACGACTACCTGCAACTAAGACTGAACTTGGCATCTTGAGCTGAGCTGCTGCCCGGATAGTTCAGTGGATAGAATGTGTGCTCTTAACAATGAGGCTGCTGATTTGACTCCCGCATGGGATGGTGGCTACGCCCACCCGCAACTAAGATTGAACACAGCACCTTGAGCTTAGAGTACACGAGCTGCTGACGGGCAGCCAGATGGTGACTGGTGCCCTCCACAGTGAAGATTGAAAAACAACTTGGCTGGTCCCCTCCCCCAATTCCCCAATAACATCTTAAAAAACACAAAATCTTCTAAGTCATGTTTTAAAAATATAAGTGCTCCTGGATAAGAAGTTTTTTAAGGGCCCTCCTGTCTCTTTCACTGCTTTCAAAAAAGAGGAATAAAAGCATCTCTCAACAATCAAGAAATGCCCCTTTACTCCTACCCTTCCTTTCTCTGAATCACCCACTTTCATATTTCCGTGGATCCCCACTGTAGGAAAGGCCGAACAGGAGTATTTCCCGATTTCTTTATGGGATATGGGATACCGACATATATGTTAAGAACCTACATAAGAAACTGAAAGGCAGCAGGTACCCTCTACCTTACAATCCCAGTCTTATCCATCATCCTTCAGAAGGGTTTGTTAATCATTTACGTTAGGAAGGGAATACAGTAATATCTTGGTTTGCGAGCATAATTCATTCCGGAAACAAACTACTTGTATTGCAAGACATCGCTGCAATGTTATGCAAGTTACCAAGTTAAAATATATTAGAAATGTTTGCTCATCTTGCAGAACATTCGCAAACCAAGTTACTCACATCCAAGGTTTTACTGTATTTGGTTGGGGGCAGGCTATCCTGTAAAGAAAGATTTGAACAGAGTAAGAACCACACAGCAACTAATGGGAAAGGGAATAAAATATGATCATAATCTAGAAAAATAAAAACTATGAAAGAAACTAGAATTACACAAGTAGCCATAACCAAGAGAACAAAAGAGAAAATGCCCATTGAATATTATACAAATGTGCTAAGCAGATATACTCAGACTAGCTTCAGAGCAGAAAGTAGATGCACGCTTGACTGGTAGCAGAGTCTCTGGTCCAAACAGAGACTGCTTTCAAAATCACAGGGAGTTTCCAGTCAGCCCTTGTCCCAGGCCTCCTCCTTCTAATACTTTGAGAATATCAAGTGTCAACAGTTAATGTTTGAATTCAAGAGCCTTCTATTCAGGATACAGAATGAGGGTATAGATTTGCCACACTGGGGGCACCGCTATTCAAATATGGCTATTTTGTCACATAGGCCACTTTTGTTAAAGAAAAATTAACCTCCTTTCTACCAAGAGAGCAGATGCTCAAGGGCTGCTGGGCACCATGGTTAGGAAGGCAGAGTAAGGCCGGAAAGTGAGCCTGTGTGACAAGAAAAAAACAATAATGGTTCTGGATGAGTTTGTAAAATTCCTGCTGAAACAGGTCTCCTTAGGTCACTCAGAAGAGTCCATTTTTTCGTTGTTCAACATTTTCAGCTCAGAAAGGGATCTTAAACACACTATGCTGTCTTCAGACAAGTGATTTCTGAAAAATGAATCTGACTAGAACTGGAAAAATGACTTCACACAGATTTTAATAAGCAAGGAAGGGTACTGATACTGAAATGCTCAAGCCCATGTAAAGATATGACTGTCAAAGTTTGGACTTGCCTCAAACATATTCCTCCTTCTTAGACTTATATTTTATGTATTAGTATCTTCAGAATTCTTGAACTTTACGTATTTTAAAAACATAATTAGAAATAAACCTATTGTATATCTACTACCAAGCTAATCTGGAAGAGTAAATTCCATCTCTTTATGCTGAACAGAGTTTCACGAAGTCTTGAGAGATACAGAGTTCCAGATAGCAATTTCAGGGAAAAGAACAATATAACTTGTTAAAAAGTGCTTGCTAGAGTGATGCTCAGGCCAACACAAGGAGGGTCCTGGTCAGACTGGCAGCTTCACTTGTGCTCAGACACGTAATGTCTGCCTTAGCTGTCTATTAGTGAGGGGATGATACTGCAGGTATGTGATGGCTGTTGTGCATGAGCTAAAGAGAACCAAGGGATTTGGCTGCAGAATTCCTACAAATCTAAACTCACCCACCCAAATTAAAATATGGCTAAAGAAGAATTTACTTAAAATTTAGTATGAAAGAGAAAATAGGAGGCTGAAGACCATTCCCAGAGTTACCGCACTTGTGTCCTGGAAGAAACCCCAAACTATCCTGAGAAAAATTGCACCCCACCTACCTGCAGGGTCTTCCTCCGCATACCTCCATGTACATTTCCTGTGTGGGGTCCCTAATCTTCACATGAGAATGTTGCTGCATCTCTGTTCAGTTGGTGCTAAAATAGATTACCCTTCGTGGGCACACATTTGCCTTAGTAGAGACTATCACTTCAAACTTGCTGCTGTTAAATTCTTATCAGAAGCCTGATTCTAAGGATGTTTCTAAGGAGGATTTACCTGCAGACAGAACATGCACTACGTGAAGTAATTTAAACCTTCTCCCGAATCAATTCAGACCATCAAAGGCTACACATTCACAAAACTGCTTTCAGTGACTTAGGGTTTCAAATTATGTCATTGTTGGCAAAGAAAGACTCTAAGAAGTGGAAGAAAACTTCCTATTGTAATGACTGAGAAATTATGATTTAATAGGTCTGGGTGGAGCTGAACATCTGGATTTTTAATGAGCTTTCCACAGGCGCGCACTAAAGGTTGAAAATCACCACTCTATTTTACGTAAGGTGGAAGGGATGTTCAGACTCCTTTCATGTTATTATATCGTGTTCCCTCTTAAAGAAGATCCAAGAGGCCGGCGGGGTGGGGGTGGGGCAGTTTCCCTTTCGGTCTCATTCCTGAGCAGAGCTGATTTTATCGACCCTGAAACTTGTATCCACACAGACGATGACGGTGCTCAGCCAAATCCGCAGCTACCTTTGAACAAGGAGACAGGACTTCAAGGCCTGAAGGAAACATTGTGGGCGTGGTGGGAAGAACAGGGCTGTAGACCAGGTTTAAATCCCAGCATTATTCAGGTTGCGTAATCTGTTTCTCATCAAGAGTGAGGACGGTACGTACCTCACGAAGTTGCTGGAAGAGCTAACCAGGTAAATGTATAAAATGCCCGGGTCGCGAAGTAAGGCCGGTCGTCCCGGGTGGTCCCAGCCTGACAGCCCCGAGTGGCATGACACAGTGTTTTCCCATTACTACGTGTTCCCGCGTCCTAGCTCCCACTTTCCCCGGCTGGGGCTACCTCATCGGTTTGGCCCGTTTTATGTACTTGGAAGCCGTCTCCGATGCTGGCCGACGGAGGCTGGACTCACACAGCGTATTCCCGACCGCGGGCCGCGCAGCCCTGAAAGCCGGACCCCGCGCCCTCGCCCTCGAGCAAGGCGCTTTGTCAGCGCCAGGCCTGGGAAGGAGCCGTCCGGCGGCGGGCTCACCTGCAGGCGGTGGCTCTTGACCAGGTGCATGTTGAGCGCGGGGCTGTTGGGCAGGATCTTGCCGCAGCCACGCACAGTGCACAAAATGTTGGTCCGCACAGCCCGGGACAGCTCGCTCACCGACGGCTGGATCAGCTCTCGGGCCGGCGGCGCCGGACCCGCGGGCTGCTGCCTTGTCGCCGCGTGCCGCGGCCGGCTGCCTCTCAGCCGTCCGGGGGGCCCCCAAAAGTCCGAGGCGGCGGCGGCTCCCTTTGCGGCCGCCGTGACGGCCGGGGCACCCGAGGCCAGAGCCGCTGGCCCCGCCGCCGCCGCCGCCTCAGAGGCCGCCATGGCTGCCGCACAGCAGCCGGGCCGAGCTCGCAAACCCCGCCTCACGCCGCGGCCACTTCCGGCAGAGGGCGGGGCCGCCGGCTCATTAGCATCCGGCTGAGCCACGACAGCCGCGGCGCCCCCTGCCGGCTGTGAAGGACGCGTCTGCGGAGAGCCGTCGCCAGGTGAGGCGAGCAGATTGCAAAACTTCATAGGGATTCATATGAACAAGTAAAAAGTTTGTTACGCTGATCCTTGCTTTGCTTCCCTAGAAACTTGTTCTCGCGCAATAATTGGATAGAAGAAAGTAATGCGTTCAGGAACTTTACTCCCCAAAGATTAGAACAGCCCAAATGTTCAACGGCGGGACAGGCAGCAGTATAATAATTACTGCTATAGTTTATTTAAGGTTTACCATGTCACACACTGGGGAATGCACTTTTCATTTATTATCTCATTTTGTCCTCAAAACAGCCATAGCGGGTATGTACTGTTAAGTATTCCCCATTTTGCAGAGAACCAACCAACTAGCCTTAGCCTTACGTCACATTGTACAAATGAAAGTATCATAATTGACAGTTAATTTTAACGAGGCTGAATTTACCTGCCTGTATTTTAACTAATGAAATTCGATTACTATTTGGAAGACAGTGTAGCTCAGGGCAGGGTTCTAAAACCTCAGTCAGTACTTAGAGGGACTAGGTAGGTCTCGTAAATGAACATAGTAGGTATAGACAAAGGGAAGGGGTGAGGGCTGCAGCGAAATGGGAAATACATCCTTGTTGAAAGGGGGCAGCTGCTACTCATCTTTGGTATCACTAAGTTATTTTTCAAAATTTTTGTGAAAACTTCTTTTATATATTAGTAGCTGTATGAGTTGTCTATTGCTACAATAACAAATTACTACAAACTAGTGGCTTAAAACAACACAGATTTGTTATTATATAACCAACTCAAAAAGAGTCTGGAGGCTTTGGCTAGAAATAAATGGAAGATTTATTCAAGGGTCTTGGAGATTTGCACACTGGGAACACAGGCAAAAACCCAGCAGTGTTCCAAAGACAGAAAAGAGTAACAAGTTTTTATTGTAGAAAGTACATTCTTAAGAATTATCAGTCCTGCATTCTTAGCCCTAGGATTGGTCCAGGACAGTTATCAGTCAGATGTCAGGCAGTCTAGATGACAGATGCCAGGTGGTCCAAAGTATGGGCCCCAGTAGGTCTGGTCATGTCCCATGGTCTGAATAGTGGATGTCAGGTGGGTGTATATGTGAGTCCTTCAGGGGTTTATCAGGTGGTCTGGATACCTGCGTGCTTCAGGAAATAATCAGAGGGTTATCTGGAGGTCCAGATGTAAATCTAGGCATGGACAGGACTGGAAAGCTCATAAAATTTTAAGTTCCCAGGCTAGTTAGAACAAGAACGGCATCTTTCCTCTGTGTCAACCTTCATGTTAATAATTTTAGCAGCTCGGTCTTGGTTAAAATGACTCCATTTAATATATTCCCCATCTTCACTCTTTCCTCATTATCTTACAGTTCTGGAGGTCAGAAGTCTGAAATGAGTCTACTAGGTTAAGATCAAGGTGTTGGCAGGGCTGCATTTCTTGTGGAGGCTTTACGGAAAAATCTGTTTACTTCCGTTTTCCAGTTTCTCGGTCAGTAATGGTGAGTTGAGTCTTTGTCACGTCACTGATTTCTTCAGTAGTTGCATCTCCCTCTGCTCTCTTCCTCTTCCACTTTTGAGGGCCTTCCTGATTATATTGGGTCCATTGAGGAACTCTCCCCATCTGCAAAGTCCCTTTGCTTGTAAAGTAACATATTTACAGATTTCAGGGATTAGGATGTGGACATCTTTGAGCAGGGGGGTATTATTCTGCTCATCACAGGAACTAATTCTGATTTAAAAAGTATTAAAAACCCCCCACATGTATGTGTGGGATAGCATCCATGGCTACTCATCCTTTCCACATGGTGTCTAAGAGTGCAGGCTCTGGAGTCCGACTGCCTGCAGTTAATGTGGGCTCAGCCACTTACTAGCCTAAGCTTCGGTATTCACTTCAGTAGCATAAAACTATTGAGTTGTTTGAAAAGTCATTGTTAAGTCCAGACAATTAATAAAGAGGCTGGATATTAAATTAGGGTTCCGAAGATTTTATTAAGCTGAGCTCAGCGACCGTCTCCCCCGCTAAAAGGAGAACGGCCGCCCAGCTCCGGGGGTTTGGTTTTTATAAGGCAGGGCTATATGCAAAGTAAGTTACAGAATTTAAAAAGAACGTGTAGTTATTCCAGTAAAAACAGCATTCCGCTATCACAACAGTGCTGTTTTATGTTCAGATGTTTTAACAGTATATCGTAACTGGGTTGAGCTGACCACACAGCCTGTCCCCTAAACTTGAAAACACCTTTGAAGTATAAAGATAGGGGCCATGGGAGCCAACTGTCCTTTTGATATGTTAAAATAAAAGCGAGGGGAGAGTTAATTGCGGTGAGGCCTTTTGATATGTTAAGATAGAAGCAAGGGGAGGAAGGGGGAACTGAGGAATGTCTTTTCTTTAACCTTTTATTCCCCGGCAGAAGCAGAGCAGGTATACAGAAGCAAAAAGGAGCTGTTAGTTTTTTAGAGTCTATGGGAGTAGCTGAAGTATAATTTTTAACGTGAGTCTGTCTGGCCTAGGGTCCGGGCCGAGATCCTTACATCATGACATATTTTTTTCCATGTTTTTCGTTGCAAAAATGTGTCATGACTTTTCCGACAACCCAATAATAATGCTGCCTGCCTTATTGGATTGTTATGAAAATAAGATAATGCACATAAAATACTTAGCACAGTAACCTGCACATAGTTAAGTGCTCAGTAAATGTTAGCTGAATAGTTTTGGAGACCCTACCTAATGTAAAGCTAGGTAGATTCCTAATTAGGAAAAATTAGAAAATCTCACTGGATTGCTCTGAAGCAACTCCTTTACCTGATTTTACACTAGGCAGTATATTCCTTTCATTGTAGAGATCTTTGGATCTACATTTACTGCTCCATCTCTTCACAAGACTCCATTTGAATACAGTATGTGTCTCTGAACCATCAAGCACATAATAGATAAGAGCTCCTTGTATTCCCATTTCCTTAAGTAGGAGCCTCAGTCTGGCAGGGCCTCAGGGTACAGCCTCAAGTGATTCCACTAATAGGCTGGATAATACCATTAGCATCTTATTGTTCAGGCTCCAGTTGCACATCCCTCTAAGTACCAGGGAGGACTATGAGCTGGTGAGAACCAACCTAGGAACATGCACGGCCTAACGCAGGCATTCAGGCACCTAGCGTAAGTGCCTGCCTAGTGTGCGCACATAGGGACAGACGCTCTAAACCATGATTATGTTCTACAAGGAAATTAGCATTATTAAGCCCTATGAACTCAGAGCCTCACTCTGAGATAACTAGTGTCTTTGCTATTGCTAATTAAATCTAAAACCATATTTTCCAAATAGGATAACTACAATCTGTAGAAAATAGCACTACATTATAAAGCATACTTTAAGCCTTTTTTTCTGATTGTTTTTATAGATTTGTACATTAAGCCTCTTTTTGATTTTCATCAAAAGTAACTGATGTACCAGTTTTTTAATATCTTTATTCACAAATAAGTATAATATTGGTCAGTTTGAATGCCATATGTATGATAAAATAGATTATTAAAAGTGTCATATTTACAACAAAACCATTATTTTATATATCTGAATCATCTGATATGCTATCTTCTGCAATAATAACTCAGTGCACCCAACTCTACCCTATGAATGGACCAATTTTATGATTCTCCTAGAAAATTTTGAGTTGGGTATAGTTTCTTGGTGCTTCTTTCTATGATCCAAGGCTTACAAGAAAATCAAACAATTGGAACTAGATCTCTCCAGGATCAAGGAGAGACAGGAATGAGAAAAAGGACATCCTGTCACATCTTAAAGGCCCACAGCTGCTATGCTATGCAGGATATGGGGGAGGGGGAGCACACGAGGTAAGAGGAAAGAATCATTCCCAACAATCATATTGAACATTTCTAAATTGTCAATATCAAGGGTTAATTTCTAAAACACAAGTTTTTAGACAGAAGCTATCCAGTAAGTCATTAATTGAAATAGATGTGCAACATAGTCAAGGAGATGCTATGCTTACAAAACCACATACATCTTATTTATCTTTAATTTTAAAATAATTCATTCCCTTGTTGGGTATGCAAGTGAGCAGTGGAGAAAGTGGTGCATCTGCAATACCTGAAATGAAAAAAGAAAGAAAATGAAAATAATCACAGGGGCAAAGATTTGAGTCACTTTAAACATGGGCAAGATTAGAGTGTGGATCATGGACTCCATTAAGTGCAGAAGCAGAATATGCAATACAGAGCATGATGGGATGGCGGGATGGCCATGACAAAGCTCAGAGGTAATCAGTCAGCAGAGAAAGGGCTGAAAATAGTACGCAGTTAATTCTTCTAGTTTGTAAAATAAACTGACTACTTACCGGCTGGTGCTAAGGATTTCAGTGCTTCCAGAAGATGTGGACTAGAGAACTTTACTAGGCACCGGAGGGGTTCTTCTCTTTCAGCCAAGATGCCCCCATTTAAATCACTTTTGAATTTTGTTTCAAGCTGTCAACAAATATATTTATAAATATTAAATGTATCAGTTGGAATAGCAAAATATAACGAAATTGGATTACACATATCATTAATTCTTGTAGTCAAGAAATATAGGATTAATGGGGGTGGGAACCATTTAATTTGCTAGTTGCAAACGTAGAGGGCAACCAGCATATCAAACGATAGCACACACAAAATGCCAAGCGTGCACAGTGCCTTACCCACGAGACCTTGGATGTCAGTTCCATCCTCAGGTGTCCTTTTTGGCATTCTTAAATGGAAAACTAGCACTATCTTTTGTAATCTGTCATTTTAATATAAAAATGTCGTATCTTTTGAATCACTACCATGATTTCTTTTTTACTTCTGATTATGGAAGATTAAAAAAAAAACATACAAAAGAAAGGAGCACAACTGGTGGCCAGTCTTTTTTCATTTATTATCCCACCTCCCATTCCTTACTGCCTACCCCTACTGGATTATTCTAAAGAAAATCTAGGACATCATAGTATTCCATTTGTAAATATTTCAGTATGTATCTAAAGAATTTCCTTTTATTCCAAAAACATTACCACACATATAAAACTTAATAACAATTCCTTAATGTTATCAAATATCCAAGTACTGCTACTTCAGTAAGTACTTGGCTCTTAGATTCTAAGTTCAATTCTTTTCTTTTTTTTAACTTAAAGTGATCCTTCACATTTAGAGGCAGTATGTTGAAATATCTAAAGGGTGAGTAATGTCTTCAACTAACTCAAATGGTTCAGAAAGAAAATGAAAGAAAGCAAATGTGGCAAAATGTTAATAATTAGTGAATTGAAGCAAAGGGGAAATGGATATTCACTTTAATATTCTCGCAAGTTTTCTGAAGGTTTGACATTTTTCAAAATAGAAAAGGTAGGGAAAAATTGGTAGCAGGTATGAATCAATATGCACTTTGACTTAAATAATAGAGCCATTCTAAGATGTGTGTAAAGGGAAGTTTTGTATATTAAATCTTACTTATCCTCCATCAGTGATTCTCTAATGTGCAGAATCAGCGGGCTTGTGAAACCAGATGGCTGGGTCCCACCTCCAGAATTCCTGATCCAGTAGGATTAGGGTGGGGCCAAGATTCTGCATTTCTTATCCATTTACAGGTGATGCTGATACTACTGGTCCAGGGACCTCACTTTGCAAATCAGTGTCCCACAGTATGAGGTTAAAACCTGCCATTCAGGAAACTAAACTTGAAAGATGTCCGTCAGCTTTTTTCCGCTAAAAACAAATCAAATAGGCATTGGGCTTGAGTGAGCAGATCAACAGCAGATTTTAAGTGTGGCCTGTAGCTGTAGTGGGGGGATAAGCAGAAAGAATTTTATTGGAAGCTTCAGGGGCAGGATGGTGTTGTATGAGCATGAGGATTAGTTTAGGGTGATCATGATATAAACCTTGAATTCTTCTAATGGTGGCAATGAGTTTGCCCCCCAGCCTGGCCTTCCCGGTGGGCAGTGCCATACTTCTGTAATGAGCTAAGTTTACAGTACTGACTAAGCAACTGGGCTATATAATGACTTATTTATGCATTCTTTTATTCAACAAATATTTATGAGCACTGACTACAATGCAAGTATTGTTCTAGGTGTGGCTGGGCTAGAAAGGTATAGTTTACAATTTTTTTCCTCAAAGATACAGATTCTAGCCAGTTATACATAACTGAATTAATATGAAAGCTGACATGAAAAGGCAAATTCAGAATTTCCAAAGGTCTTCTTTACTAACAAAGGAACTTACTAAATATGATAAAGAAGTCTATTGTAACTCATAAATTATACAAAATTAAAGTGACGAATGAATAAGAAACTGTTTTCCACTTAAAGTTTCTGTTCTTTTTTAAAAATATTGATAACTGTAGTTAGTTTACAGCAACATCCTACCTTATATTGTGCGAATTCTAGTCTTGGTTGAGGATAGTCTCCAAAAATTTCTTGAGTCACTCTTTGGACTCTGTCTTTTTCTATTCTGTTTTCATGAATGATCCTTGAATCCACTATAGATGGAAGATTTCAAATAAAACAGCTTTTAGGAATACATTTCATCCTTAGAGTATCCTCCTTTCATACCTAACCTTTCAATTCGCTTGCATAATTTTAAGATAATATTTACTGTTTCTTCTCTTGATTGTAATAATTTATTGTAGAAAAGTTAGAAAGTATGGGCTAATAAAAAAGAAAAACCACCCATAATTCTACCACACAGAAATAAGCACTGTTAACATTTTAATATATTTCTATTTAGCCCTTTTTTCAGTGAAAAAAAACCAAAACATATATATATATATATATATATATATATATATATATATGGATTATAAAATACACACAAGTTTCTATCCTGCTTTCTTAACATGAAATCAACAGCAGTTCCTATGCCATTGGAAAGTCATAAAAACATTTAATTCATAATGGCTGTAGCATTTAATTTTACTGCCAAATCATTGCTAAGAGAGTAAAATTTTCATTTTAAAAAATGTGCTTCCAAATTTCTGTTTTTATCTTAGAACACACATACTATTTATATCTAGCCCAAGTCTTCCTTCTTGTAGTGGTGTAGTAGAGTTGTGAGTTTCAAAGTTCTAGGGAAAAAAAAGGAAAAGGAAAACGTGAATGTTTTCTTAATTTTAACACCTTGAAGTATAGCTATTAATTGGTTTTAGTACATAAAAGTATGTCAAATTTTATCTTTATTTTTTCCAACAAAACAGAGATTTGAAGCCAAGTCCAGGACGAGTTGGGCATTTCTCCTTCCGTATGATATCAGCAGAGACTGCTGGGGCCAGCAACATGGCCGTTTTGTATGAGGAGCTCTGTACTTTGTTATTATAAAAATGGATCTGTAAGAAGTATAAGTGGTGAGTGCAAAAGCTACAGAAATTAAGTATTTGCAATGTGATGTTCCCCTTTATAGCTATGTCTTCATAACCCTAAAAAACTCAGAGATTTCTTTGGAAAATAACTTTCCTACTGAAAGTCTGAATCTCTCAAATATCCCTTCTCTCACCTTCCCCTACTGAAACCACTGTTTTTATAATTAAAAGTGTTGTAAAATGTGAATTTTCCTAGGAATGCAACTGTTATAGCAGAATAGTTGATATCAATTTGACGGGAGGATGGTGGGACAGAGGGGAGGGGCCTGCTAGGGAGAAAATCATTATCTAACTTCTTAGTGTTAGATTTTTTCCTTCAAGAGTGGCTTGCAGAGAGCCATCACTTCTTTATATATTTTATATATAAAATATATTATAGAACAGATGAAAATATATAAGTATATCTAAGGGTTCAAAGATATACACAAAGATTAACGATCCACCTACAGGAGTCTGAACATATGAGCACACAGATGCATGCAGAGCAAAAAATAACCTTGAGCCTGTGAGTAAGGCCAGATCTGTCCTTATCATTAAAGGGAAACAATGCATTTAAATAATTTTACAAATATATAAATTGTGGGACTTAATAAACCAAAGTTTTCTCCTTTACTTCTAACCCATATATCAACCTGCTTGACTAATGGGACAAAAAAATTAATTCTACTTCTCTCTTGAATAACAGAATAATATAATTAGATTCAAAAGATAGTGTTAGGTTAGTCTAAAGAGAAAATAAATTCTAATTGGCATAGCTGATCTAGAATCTGGCATTTATAACATAGACTCAATGGCTCATGAGCAGTATAAAACACAATACAATTATAAAAGATGACAGTGAGGAATTATTTTGTTTCCTTTCATGTTAGCTAACTGAAAGCTTTCTTCACTTCAGTAATACCTGAAGTGATCTCCTTTTGTTGGAGGTGGACTTTTCCACCTGCTCAGTGGCTTCTAACTCATGTGTGAAAAAGAAAATGGAAACTTAACTTTAAAGAGTTACAGATTGGCTCACCTGATTATACTGTTTAAAAACAATAGCCTTAAGAGAGTCAAGATAGCGACTTCTGAGATCCATTTTCACAATCTGGTGGTGTTTGCTAGCAATTGTCAGTGCCTTGAAGTGAAAATTACACGGCAATGTTAAAAAAACAAATTACAGATGCTATGTACTACCCTGGTTTTTGTAATAAAACATCTTCTGAAAGGAAATAACAAAACTGTTAACTACTCAAAACTGTTACTGTTAACAGTTTTGGGTGAATGGGATTGGGAAAAATGGTATGAAGTTTTAAAAGACTAACTGTTGGGCTGGCCGAGTGGCTCGGTTGGTTAAGAGCTCACTCAAGAGTGTGAGCTCTGAGCAACAGGGTCGCCGGTTCGATTTCCGGCTCAAGCTGAGCTGCCAACAGGTGTCAGGATGGCTCACTGTTTATCTTTAGAGACTTCTGTGTTGGTTGAATTTTTACATTTAACATACATTGCTTCTAGATTAAAAGACAATAATGAAGAGCTCCAAACCAACACTTATGCCACTTTCCCATTTGTAGAAGAATAACACTTTCTGCTCCTTATTTTAGGGAAGCAAGAATTACATGTGGCATTTTATATATAATGCTTATTGAGCAGCTTAAACCTACATAGACCTCTGCAATAAGGACAATCAAATATTATAACTATGATAATTGGTTCCATACCTGACACAGAAGGGGTGTATTGCTTCTCAACCGGGAAAAAGAAATGAAGGCATATGGAGTCTGGGAATAATACATCACGTAAGAAGGTTTGTACTGGTTTGGTTTTCTATACTGTGTTCCCCAGGCAATTCGAATCCATACTGCAGTCTCCTCAGCATCTCTGAAGGTGACTGTCACCTTATTAAAAAAATATATATTTAAGTTTCCTAATTAAAATCTCATGGCACCAACAACATGCGCTTTTCAGGGGTGAAGGGTGTGACTCTCATCTCGCACACAATCTTTTCTCCTACTTTTCATTACAGTGTTTTGGGAATCTTTGAGAAAACATTTTGTGGTTGTTTTGTAAAGACACATATATGCTTTGCAAAGTCTTTTGGAAGAAGAAAAATGAAGGAACCCACAATCAGGGTAGGACAGTAAAATTTTTCAATAATTTCTTGGGCTTAGCCTGAAAAACTGTGTTTTTCCATGTGTAAAAGATTATGAAGGCAGCCTTATAAGTGAGATACCTGTTTTAAAATGGAGCCTTGTTAGCACTGAGCATAGAGCTAGTGTGCATTATAAAATTTAATAGTAACATTTTTATGTAGTAATGGGCTTAAAAATATACTTATCCTAATGCTTTTATGCATTTAGCTGAGATGCTAAAAATTACACTAAAGGAAAGTTATGTGGTGAGAATATAGGAAATTCAACTAGATTTTCATTTCATGGATAAAATGTAGACCTTTCTAAACTTTTAAGTGTGATCATCAGTTGGTCTGGAATTCAGTAGCCTGCTCTTAGATTATCAGCTCCCCCTTGATTCAGCTTCCTCTTGGAGCTCGGACCGCGGAAAGGAGGCACCTGAGACAGGTGTACTTGGACGCCCCACGTCTCTTTATTTCCTCCCGACATATCTTACTCCAGGTAAAGCAGGTTGTAAGGTGGCTGCTGGCATTAATAAAGAAGGCAGTTGCTTTGACTCTGCCCACTCTTTTTATTTGGCTGCTTTTCCAAATTCCCCTGGTGTACCAGACAAGGAACCGTGCCCAATCCCAGATGTGGAGGGTGCGGGGCCATCTGACCTTCCCTGAGTGAGCTGTACGGCACTTAGCCCCAACAGGGAGGACCTCTATTGCCTTGAATGGAAGAGGATGGGGTCTTATTCTGAATAGCCTTTGTGTCACATTACCGAAACAAAAATGCCCATAAAATCAAGATTGAATAGTGTATGGAGGTTACATTTTTACTAGAGGGAGAAAATTGGTAACACTCCACATATTCAGGTAGTCTCTCTAGCCCAAAATGAGGACCTTTAAGTGAGAGCTCATGGAGGGGCTTAAAGAGGCCTGTTACCTCCCTGAATTGGATGCACAGCCAGGTGTACATGTCTAAGTGCATGCTTTTCTGGAGAGAGGTGCTGTATCCCTTATCAAAATTTTCCTTAAGGGTCTCCATGAAAACATCAGTGATCTAAGAGAAAAGGATGTCCAGCATCAGTGTAGCCCTGGCCTAGCTGGCTTTCAGGTGTTCGATCTCACATTCTTTTTTTGCTTACTTTTTAGTTTTTCAGTTACAGTTGACATTCAATATCATTTTATATTAGTTTCAGGTGTACAACATAGTGGTTAGACATTTGTATAATTTACGCAGTGATTACCCCTAATGAGTCTAGTACCCACCTGGCACTATACATAGGTATTGCAAAGTTATTGACTATTCTCTATGCTTTACATCCCTGTGACTACATTCTTGGAGTAAGGAAGATATTCAGATACCTGAAGACGTGTGGCCCAATACAGACTTTTGTTATTTCCCAAAGAAACTATCTCAACAGCTATCATCCTGCAATAGCCAGGATAAAGCATTTTCCACAGACAATAGCTCAGATTAATAATGCTCAAGCTTAACTAGGTGATTAATCCCACCAAGGGTCCTAAGTGGTTTGGCTAACCTGGGACTGTACCGCTCGCCAGGGTTCCCTCTGAACTTCAATAACTGGCTACCATCCACAAACTACTGAAAAGTTTAGCGTGAGAATGAAATAAAACTTACAACACACAAAATTGCCTCATCTTATCAGATAAAATGATTCAAAATACAATGTTTTTGAAAACTTAAAGAAGACAAACTAAAAAACGTTTTAATTGTAAAAAGGTAGCACATTTATCTCCTTTTTTATGCCTGTATATCATGTAGTATAATAATGATAGTCTGTGTTAAATATATTAATAGTTAAATATGTGGCAATCCACGTCTATCTGTAGCTGGCCTTTCAAACAGGACAGATATGACCCATAAGTCTCCCCTACTCGTCTGCCTAAAATTCATTCAGGAGGCAAAAGCTTTTGGAACATGGCAGTGACAAAAAGAGAATAAATCTAACAACTGAAATACACGAGCATTCAAGTAGGAAGAAGTAGCATTTTAGACTCTTTTCTCCTTGAATGGGAGTAGGGATGGGAGGCATGGGGTTCAGTGAACAGAAGTTCCTGGTGCCTAAAAGAGACATCAGGTGAGGAGAGGGCACCGAAAGGGAAGGATGCAGCTAAGCGACACTGGAGCTGGGAGAGACGCTCTCTGGGAGGTTTCTTGTTTTGGGTGAAGCAGTGTGGGAACACTGCCAAGAGTTTCCCAAAACGAGTTAGTCAGTCATGCTCAGCTTCATAAAAAGGCTGGTCCCAGGTAATGCTAATGCTGCTGGTCTGGTGACCACACTGTGGGAACCACTGCCTTTCCAATCTGATTTTCAGTCTGGCAGCGAGGGCAGTAGCCAGAATGCCAGGGGTATAAGCATAAAGCTGGCAAGGATGGGTTACCTTTTCAAGGGGTTTTTTTGCAAAGGCCTTTGAAGGGGGCCAATAAATAATACCTCTCTTCCCTGTCCTTCTAGAACAACTAAGAAATAAGGCAAAAGAATTGGAAGGTGGAGGCCAACATATAACTTATATTGCCAAGAAACTGGTGACTGGCTTATCTCTGCAGGCAAGTGGCCCTCCAGGCAACAAAACCTAGAGTCAGGCAGAGTTGCCCACATGGTCACTGGCAGAACCACTCCAGGTGGCCTCCCTTGCAGGGGCAGAGCTGGCCCCTGGAGGAACAGGGCAGAATAGGTGCCCCCTGCAGGTAGTTGCTTTCACCCAGGTTAGGTCAGCGCTTCTGCTGGAGAAAGGTGACAGGGAGGCAGTGAAGAGGGGACTCCCTCTACATAGGGGTACATCAGGAGCAAGAAATACTTTCCTCCAAGAGTCTTACGCTTAGGATGAGCATGGAGAATGGATGTACTTTTACTGAGACTTGGGCAAGTTTATAAGCAGTAGAGTGGGCATCAGAAGAGGAAGACATTAAGGAATGTGAAAGAATAGAGAGAAACCAAGCATGTAGGCTCTACAAGGTGTAGGACGTGGATTCAAAGCACACACAGAAGGGTCACCGTACGAAAGGAGAGGAGAGAACATGTTCACTGACAAGTGGATAAGTAGAAAGCATGAGAGAAGTTACGAAGGATGAGGTAAGGAGATGGAAGGGCAGGTCAAGGAGTTTGTGTATGGGGAAAAAAGAGGGAGCTACTATTCTAGAGAGGACAGCCAAAGCATGGTGAATGTGACAGATTTTGGGGGTATACCTTTATATGTAAGGAGGACTAAGGCAGACTAAGGTGGAAAGAATGAAGTAGGAGAGGCTGTTAAAAACTTGATCACCTCAACCTATGTCAAGACACTAAGGTGGTGCTGTGGCAATGGAATGGCAGCGTGCTCTTGACCAATACCATGGCCACTGGCCAGCCATGGCTATTGAACTAAAATTATAGGAAAATAAGATTAACACTTTAGTTCCTCATTCATATTAGCCACATTTCAAGGCTCAGGTGCCGCATGTGGTTACTAGCTGATGTAGTGGACAGTCCCGATAGAGAACACTGCTAAGGTTGCAGGGAGTTCCACTGGTGGGGCCGCTCTTGAGAAAGAGCATTTGCCAGGTGAGGGGAGCGGAAAGTTTTTCTAATAATTAGAGTTGGTCTTTGTTATGGACTAGAATAGTATAGAATATTGACATTTCTTACAAATAAAAAAAGGTGGTAGAAAATGTTAAGTGCACAGATGCCATGAAATTGTATTTCATGAACTTTCAGATAAATTTGATTCTTACATTTTTTAATGCCCTCTGAAGAATTTTCTTAAATGAACTTTTGAACTGTTCCATATCGGTAAGGTCAATGTCTTCACCTGTCAAAGTGAAAAGAAAAATCAAGAAAAATTCAGAAAGCTACAATGTCTTCAATAAATACATCTGCAAAAAAAGACCCTGAAGGTGAACATTTTGAGTAACCTAAAAAAAACAAGAATGATTCAAATCACACAAATGCTCCTGGTACCTGACACAGCATGCAAAATATATTTCTCCTTTTCCCATACGTGAGTGATAATCACCTCATTTTGAAAGATTTAAGAGGAACATAATGTATTCATTTTTAAATTGCCAAAATATCAAATACAAATGTTCAGTTTAGAAGGGAAAAACGTTACCTGGCTCTTTAGCCATCTGAAAAACATCCCAAACTCTCTGGTGCCGGTGAAACTGAGTATCTGAGAGAGGGAAGAAGCACTTATTACTATCATAACATAGAACTTTAAGTCATGTGCTTATAAACATATATTTTTAGTAACATGAAAGTGGAGAAAATAACAGTAATTTACAAATTAGGTTATACATTTTTATTCAAAATATAAACTAACATGGATTAAATTTACTCCAGACAAATAAAACAAGTAAAAAAGAATAATTCAATATAGTAGAGCTTTAGCATTTACTCGTTTTTAGTCAGACCATTTATTCTATTTCTGCACAGAAAGTCTCATTTAAGAGCATGCCAGGGATGACGTGTTCCTCACCACTGGTGCGTGCACGGGCTATTCCTTCATCCAGAGCATCCTTCTCCTAGCTCGGTGCACCTTATCCCTGCACCTCATTCTAGTCTATACTAAGATTCCACCTATGCAGTGGCCTACCCTGATCACCCTACCCAAACTGACACCCCAACCTGGCCCTGCTTCAGTTTCCTTCATAGCACTTATCACCTGACATTACATATATTCAGATGTTCATTTGCATACTGCTTGTCTTCCCAACTAGATTCCCACAGAATACAGGACTTTGTCTTGTTAAGTGTTGTATTCTCAGTGTCTAGTCACTGGCTGGCATTAAACAAGGACTCCATATATGTTTGATGAATGAATGAATGAATGAATGACATAAAAGACACCCTTCAGGAGTTACAAACTTGAGTATCTTGGAGTAAAAATGGACCTAGGAAGTTATTGAGTTCAATCCCACCACAGATCATCCTGGCTTTATTGTGCCTGCGCTGACCTCTATCTGCGCTGACCTCCATCTGTTTGCTCTGATCTCATTTGCATCCCTGTATCTTTGGACCTAGGACTGAGGTACTCTGAACCCCATAAAGAAGGGCTGTTGGCCCCAATACTCAAAGCTACCAACTTGCTGTGCCTTTTGTACTTATTACTTTTGTTATCCTTCCTATAGTTTAGTGTCTTGTTTTTGTTCTTTATTTGGTGCCTTGGTGTCTGTCTCCCTCTCTCACCTCATTTATGGCAATGGCCTGACAATTCTTGATTACCTAGTTTTGTCTAAAACAGGTATTATAAGGCACAATGTGATGCCTGCCCAAGAGATAGCATTCAAGGGTATCTCTTTCTGGTATTTCTTCCTTGGTTCTGTGTTTCAGAGTTAAGATGGCCTGCTGATTAATCTATGAATAAGGTTGTTATAATAATAATGGAAATGGAAATTTTGTTGTTGTTAATGATTCCATTAAACATCATGTACAAGTTCATGATAAATGGCAAGGGCTTAAACACAAATGAAGACATTTCCTCAAACAGAACACTTCTTAGACTACTGCATGATCTTTGTGAGAAGCCTGGTCTACCTCTAGCGTTCCCTTAGCAAGGGGCTCCACTTTCCTTCTAGTTGCACATACAGACTCTGGGGCCACGTGTGCTCCTCCCACTCCGTCCCTCTAGACCACACCATGTGCAAAATCCAGTCAGTTTTAATCCTTACATTCCTTACAAGCTGCACTGTAAGTAGAACAAATTCTCAAAAATATTTTTTCAATTCTGTTAATAATAATACAAAGCCTAACAGATATTTACTGTGTGCTTATTATATGCCAGTTACTGTGCTAAAAGCCTTGCAAACGTTACCTCACTTAATCCTCACAATGATCCTGTGCTATTATCATATTATTATAATAGGCACTATTATTATCTCCATTTTACTTAAGAGAAGTCTGAGGCCTAGAAAGGTGATATGACTTGGCAAAGGACACAAGACTGGTAAGTGACAGAGCTGGGATTTCAAACCAGGTCAACAGATTCTAGAATCTGAGCTCTTACATATAAAATTGCCTCTGATGAAACTGGATTGGTTAAATGAAAGTACAAATCATCAAAACTTACAAATGATGTCTAAAAGGGCTGCGTCATTGAGACTCACACAATTCTCCTGAAAGAGAAGATAAAATGTTCAGTGAGTGTGGCAACAGGTTTGATTCTACCCCATTTATAGCACATTTTAGTATTGTTCACAACAGACTAAGAGCACCCTCTCAATACTTTTACTGACAACCTGTCTCCCATCTATGCTCTCCTGTTAAGTAACAAATATACCTTCTGATTCATGTGTCAGGACAGGCACTCGCAACTGCTCTCCCCCAATCTACTCCTCATTTATCACTTTTCTCCTTTTGATTTGTTTTTTTTTGTAATTAACCTTCTAGACTTCCTCTACAACAGGGTTTCTTGGCACTACTGACATTGTAAGTCATATAATTCTATGTTGTGGCGAGCTGTTCTAGGATGTTAAGGAGCATCCCTGGGCTCTATCCACTGGAAGCCAGTAGCACCCCTCCCACAGTTTTGACACCAAAATGTCTCCAGGCATTGTGTTCTCTGGAAGACAAAATCATCTGAGCCAAGAACCACTGTCTAAACATATACATTTATATGAATGCATATCATATACTTTCTTTCAATGTATACATAAAGATCTAGTAGTAGTGTTAATGGCCAAAGAATACTTTATGTGGGTATCATTATTTAGTTAATCATGATGTATTGTTTTTTCCAGTTTTTTGTTTTTTAAGTAATGCTGGTTAACATCTTTATTTATAGTATATAAATATTTACATCTTTATACTTACATATATGTTTATCAATTATCTTTATGCATATATCACTTTTATGATTTTCTCCATATAAATTTCCAGAAGTGGAATTGCTGGGTCATCAAGTATATTTATTTAAAAGTGACTAAGGGGGCTGGCCAAGTGGCTCAGTTGGTTAAGAGCTCACTCAAGAGTTTGAGCTCTGAGCAACAGCGGTTCGAGTCCAGCCCGAGCTGAGCAGC